CCTACCTACCTACCTACCTATATACCTACCTACCTATATACCTACCTACATACGTACGCATGTACGTACGTATATACACACACATAACAAATAAGTATTTACGCACATACAAAGTGTTTGCTTTCAGGTTGTCGGTGTCTGGATCAACCACCTCTTCTCGAACTGCTGTTACAACTCTTGCCTGCATGCATGCATTAGGTGACTTCTTTGTCTTCATCTAGTACGCAGCTACCTGTATACTCATATGTATGTTTGCATTATGAATATCTACAGGTAGGTTTCCTTGTCTTTGCATGCAACAACGTATCCAAGCATGCTCTTCAGCGCATTCGCTCGGGACTGGTCGCACATGCGTTTCGTGCGTGCAGGCAGGACCTCGCGGTGCTTTGCACAAGGCGATCCATGAAAAGATTGTCAAAGGCGAGAACTCCTTCGCACTCGCCGAGGCGTGGTTCCAAAGAGTGCGCAGGGGCACGCATCAGCCCGAGATGGCGCACAAAGGGGGAAGCGATGGTGGCTGTAGCCTGTGGCCTCTTGAGATCCAAATTGACCACGTAGGACGCTGTAGGATGGCAGCCGCAGGCACAGGCGAATCTGCAAAGGCTCCACGAGGCCGGGGACCAGGAAGGCGTTGCGACCCTGCTCGTGGCAGAGGCGGGAGCCGGAGAGGTTTCCGCCCAGGCAACTTAGACTTCGGGTTCTGGAGGCTGCACCACACAGTCACAAGGGGATTCCATCAAGTTAAACCGTCAAGTTGGACAGATTAAAACTCAGCTACCTCTGAGGCGAGTCATTGTTTCTGAACTCATGTCTGAGATTTGCAGGCAGAGTGTCTTTCCGCGTTTCGAAACTGGAATGCGGCGCTTGGGGCCGCGACCGAGGGATTGCTGCTGGCACGGCAGCTTTCAGTCAGGCTGGAATTGAGTGGAGTCAGATTGTATGTCGGTATCGTAACATTACCTGCTCGCCACAAGGTCACTGGAATGTTATGCATCTTTCGCAGTCCTTCCTTATGCATACCTGCAGCTGGGGGAGTCAGACAAAGCATCTGAAGCTGCAGAAAGTGCTTATGCGCTGTGCCGTCAACTGGTTGACCGGAAGATGCGGGCGAAAACCTGCATGGCGGTGGCCAGAACTCTTCAGATGGTCGCATCGTCGGTTGCAGAGACTTGCATTCGGGAGGCCGGTCTTCTAGGCTTTTCCATCCGTCTTTCTTGAGTTGGGTGCTGTAAGCATCAGAGACCTCTTCTTGTTGTTCTAGGCGCTATCGACTTTTCGGGCATTGGACGACCAAGTCGGAGAAGCTGCAGCGCAATGCACTCTTGCTCAGGACAGGTCCTCAAATGTCAATTCCAATGCTTGCCAATTCTGGCTGCCTCCCTGTGAGGTCTTGATTGCAAGAAGTGCATGCCAGGAAGCTGTGAGGCATGGCTATGACAAAGGACAGCAGGCGATCAGCCCAGAAACTCGGCAGGCCTGCAAGAGAGGCCTTGCGCCTTTCTGCTGGCCGTCGCGTTGTTGCAGCCCACGAGGCCTACGCCCCTGCCTCAGCTGCTCCGTGCGCTCTCGCCGGACTCGCTGGATGCAGCACAGAGATGACAGAGGTCGCGGCTCTGCTCGGGTGCGGCCGACAGGCGGAGGCTCGCCAGGCGGCCGAGAGCGCTTTGGCTGAAGCACGGCACCCTGGCGGCCATTGGCGGCCCTTGGCCTGCTCAGAGAGCGAGAGCGACCGTGACCATGTCTGATGCAGGCAATGCGGACACAAGGACGGGGAAGCTGCCATGCTTGCTTCTTTGGCGCAAACCGCAGTTTGGAAGCAGGCAGCGACTGAGAGTCTGCAAGACGCATTTGCACAGCGAACGTCTGCTCCAAGGTAGAGAAGGACGGCTTGGAGTCTGCACTCTCGCTGGTCCAGGACCAATTGCCGGGCTTGTAGCAGTCTATGAGGGATGTGCAAGCACAGGAGCACAAGCGTCCCCAGGTCGAAGGTCATGCAACACGCGAACCTTGTGAGAACCCTGCTCTTCCATCCCCTCTGCTGCTGTTGCCATGGCCCGTGCAGGATCTTGCCGAGCATAATTGGATCCAGCAGCCCAAGTTATGACTAAAACCTCTGCGCAACAAACTGGCCAGCCTCTACTCCAGATTGCTCTGCTGAAGACTGGCTGGATTTCGGACACACTCGGACTGTCCTATAGAAGTTCTCTACCATCCGGAATACAGGGTTTCGTGGGTTGATTCCTGCTGTGCAGTTGTGCCTGCGGAGCCCGAGGTGCCTGTTCGTTGTCGCTTGAGCGGCTGCTTGTTATCCGAATCGCTCACGACATCTAGAAAATCCTCGCCCACCTGTCCGACTTCGTTTTCCTGAATTGTCTTGTGTCTCCGAGCACTCTCTGTTTTCCGCACCTGTCTTCATGCGAAAAAGCCCCCCGCCAGCTGCCTTTCTCGCAGGGTCCGGCGGGTCTGCCAAAGCCATGTGTCGAATGTCACGCGGTTGGATGATTGCATTTGCAGGTATCATTTTCCTTGATTGCCCTGGATGGTTGATGTATTTATAAGAAGCTAGCAACTTTGTGCCTTGTTGTCGAATGGCAGGAAGCTTTGCAGCTTTTTCAGCAGATCCGTCTGAAGACAGCTGCAAAGGTTTATTTGGAGGCTTCTTATCTGTGACCCTTGTGCACGGTCGTCGGTGCTGTTTGACTTCGAATGCTCACCAGGCCAGCAAGCTACTCTGCAGCAGTGGGCTGCTGGATGAGACTCTTTTGCATGCGCAGGACTTTCTGCTCCTAGAAGCACAGCTGTTCCAAAGCCTGGCAGGTCACTGTAATTTGTTGCGGCGCTCGTAGAATCAGTTAGCCTCGAGGAGGCTCTCGTATTGTTTGGGCGTGCACGAGACTGGGTTGGAGAGAGATCTGCCAATGCGGTTCTCAGTGAGGCCGGACTTAATAAGCTAGGCATGGTAGGCCCATCTAGGAGTCATGGCAGGTGTACAGCCGTCGCGGTGAGCCGCAGCTGGCACCCAACAGGCATACAAGTAAACCGCACCTTTGCAAGCTCAGTGGCACTGCGCAAGGCCTGAGGCCATGCGACTGGTGAAGGACATGGCC